GCCAGCCTCATTCCTCGCCAGATCTCCACTGGCTATCATTGCGTGGAAGTGCTGGTGCACTTGTGCGTTAGTCAGTAGGAGTAGCGCTGGAGGAAGGAAGATGCGCTAAGAGCGAAGAAGAAGACTGTGCGCTGGAAGGGAATGCAGCCATAGCTGCCCAGCAAGGTAGTAAGTAGAGTAGAAGGGCTAGTACTTAGTTATGAGTAGTATTCAGAGTAGATCCTTGGGAGAACAGTGTGTGCATGCATCGTAGAAGGAAGAGATTGAGACAAAGAGTGTTCATTCAAGGTTTGGCTATGGGAGACACTTACCTGAGTTGGTTGTGAACTGCAGAATTGGCGTTGATGAGTTGTGACCATATTGATGACTGGGAGACAATCTGCAGGGGTAGCGCTGATGCCTTGGAAGGCATATTGATGAGTTGAACAGAGATTTGTGTTGCGCTGATGAGCGCTGGACTCAGGGGAACTTTGAAACACTTTGTCCTCACATTTCTGATAATATAAGCTGTGAAACTCGGTCCTCTTCTTCTCTACCTTTGTCAATGGTTGAGACTATTGATCACTGTGTGTGAAGATGATGCATGACATGTACACATCTGCGTGAGATGGTCCCCAGGACCCATGCAGTTTCTATATCTCTATTATATAGATATATACAATAGAGAATACTGGCGATGATCAACGAAGAGAAATTTATTGATTGCAGTCATGCTTTTCAGCCTGGAAGAGGCTTCGCCCAAGGCCACGAAGTGGCAGCGGCGCAAGTTCAATCTCATTCAATTGAGTTGGATCTAAAAGAGTTGCAAACACGAAGTGGTCCGTTCCACCAAGAGTCCATTTGATGGTGACCTAATTTACTGGAGTCTTAGGGTACAGAAACGATTCATTATGCCGAAATTCTCGAACACACAGGACTACAAAAAGGCACAAGGACAAATCTAAATCACGGACACAACACGGACTCCAAGGACAGATGGACAAGTACAAGGGAAGGAAGGAAACCGGAGACATTACCTGGATGCTTCATCGAATATAAGGACACAGACCTTTGTCGGCGCGGAGAAATTTCGGACATCTCGCGACCAAGAGAACATCGGGATGGTAGGAGTGATCAATGGCGACGAGCATATACGATGATATGAGGAGACTGCAAGGACTCGAGTTCAGCCGGACAGAAGTAATTGGAGCGAGGGTATATGTACTGTTGATAGTGGCTGAAATGATTACCTGAGCAGAGAGGTAGAAGGGTAATCACGACTGTATCTGTCGCATGCCATGGACAGGACGTGTATTCTGTGAAAGTAAAGCCTCGCACGTGTTGTCCAATATTGCAAGTGTGTATCTCACTCTGTGTGTGTGTGTGTGTGTGTGTGTGTGTGTGTGTGTGTGTGTG